TTTTTTTTTTTTTTTTTTTTTTTTTTTTTGCTGGACGTTGTATGTAATCTTTTTGTTTTTTTTGTTTTTTTTTTGTTTGTTTTGTTTTCCGTGATGTCCTACCGGTTGTCCGAGGCTCGGCAATAAAGTGCGAGGCTCGGGAACGACCGGCCTACCGGTAGGCTGAGCCACGGGCCTTAACAACCGGCAGGTACTGGTGGTTTAATGTTTGTTGAAGGTCCATGGTGTAGTAGAGGGTGGTGGCCAGGCCTCAAGAGGGGTGGCCCGTAGTACTACTTATCCATTGGGGGTTCAGAGGGATGACGAGGACCCAGGGCCCAGGGGGAGTCACCTCAGGATGGTACCATGGTACCATGGTACCATGACCCATATGCTAATGCTCAGATCGCAAATCGTTATCTGCGCCAACGCGTACCGGACTAACCCGAATGTCTTCATGCAGACACTACCCTCCCATAAGTCTAATGTTAAGGATGACCCGGGCACACAGGTGGGTTCCATGCATATGCATATGCAGTCATCCCCCATGTGTGCCTCATCCCGCCGACTCTATGGGCCACGAACTGCCCTTCCACTAAGATGCGATATCTCGCCCTCCCCTATCCTAAGAAGCATGATGCGCTCCTACCCCAGGCTCCCCAAGAGTCCACAGTCTCTACTAATTCCCCCAATGCGAATTCCCAGTGACCCCAACCTAGATCAATCACCACCCGCAGGCATCGTGAGATACCTGTGGGATGAGAAGTACCCAGTACCTACCCCATACTAACACCCAATGTGTGCGTAGGATTATCCCCCCCCGAGATGGGCCCTACCGTAGTCTAAGTGCGCTCTGTGTGGACTCTCGCACGGGCGCCATAGTGACCGGGAACATACTAGCTGTACCCTGGGTCGACCATGCCCCCCCCACGAACTAGTGCATACTGGCGAGACTGACAGACCGGAGGGTCCAAGCGGCCAGGCAGAGGTATTGACGGTTTCGACAGTTTGGCAGTTTTTTGGTTCTCGACAGTCTAGGCAGTAAACCCTCCCCCCCCCCCCCCCCCCCCCCCCAAAAAAAAAAGCCCATGGTGGAGCCAAGATAAGACCCTCATCCTCGGACCCCCTAATACCAAGCACTTAAGCAGTCCTTCCTATGGCCCTATCCAGCATACTACAACCATGGACCTAAACCCCTTGGGCGGTGCGCAGAAAGTGTCTGTATATATCTTACCCTGCGTCGCTCCAAGGGGGGAGTGTGGATGGCTTGTGCTTTATGAAAGCGCCTCCCAGTATATGTGCCCGAGCCCGAGTTTCGAACCCGCAACCTCATACCACAATGCACATTTCCAACTGCTGCTCCCACTGAGCCAATGGCCATCAACAGAATGTCCTCCAATTTTATCACTATTATTATTATTATTTTTCTGTGGATGCAGATGATCCCACAGAAGAATTGCTTCTCCCACCTGAGCAACGTAACCCTATCTACGACTTACTACCAACGAGCCTACCTCAGTTGGTACACCCACAAACTGTTGAAAAACAGGCCCCAGCTCGAATCCAGATACAATCAGATGACCAAAATAAAATCATTCTGAATTACCCGGGGCCGGTCAATTCAACGATGATATCTCAAGGCCGTCGCCCTATCTGTGACTTACCGCTCATCTCAGACCTGTTACATATTGTCTGCCGGAATTTATTTTTAATCAGTAATATATATTCCCACCATCTCCACCACTTGATCTCAGGGAGCAGTGCACGAGCGAGTGAGCGAGCGAGCGAGAGAGAGAGGAAAGAGAGAGAGAGAGAGAGAGAGAGAGAGAGAGAGAGAGAGAGAGAGAGAGAGACGGTCAAAGGTGCTTATTGATTCCTTCGGGCCACGCATCTGTCACACTCCTACCGTTATGGAGGCTGACAAATTTCCTAGAGAGAGAGAGAGAGAGAGAGAGAGAGAGAGAGAGAGAGAGAGTTTTGTTGGAAAGTCCTTCACCAAGATTAACCGTTTGCCTGCATGGACTTCTGGAGGCGCAAATCTGTAAGCTAAGCTGGCTGATGCGGTCAGTACCCGGGTCGGATTGTGAGCTCCCCGGCGTTGATGTCTCTTGCAAGAGTCGTAATGGATTTCAACTTGCGTTAAGAAAAAAAGAAGAAAGCTTCAGTTCTGGAATGGTAGGAATTACCTCCACGAACAGCCCGACACCAAGCGAACCACGTGTCGTCCTCCAGACCTCCTCCAATTACTGTTCTTGTGCGCTCTGCGTATCCTACTGCCACTCCAGCCAGCATTTCCTTTGTCCCCCTTCCGCCCAACTCTTCAATCTGCAGGACAGACTCCTCGACCATGTTATCTTGCATTTGTTCTGCACCTTCCGTGTTTTTTTGAAACAAGTGCCTGCTGCCGGATTTATCCCAGACGGACCTAAAAGCAACTTCCAAAAAAGAAAAAAAAAACTTGCAATCAAGTGGGGAAAAAAGGAATTGCTTGAATGATGCCTGCTGGATTTGCACGGGCTTGTGGGAAGGGAAGTGGGCCCAACTTCTCCTTCGGTGGAATCGGTGCCCTCCTTTGATTGGTCAAGTCGTCCCAGAGATCCTCGACACTCTCCTCTACAAATATGCAAAAAAACCAAAAAATGAGAAACATAGAAAAGTCCTTTGGGACATCCGTTAAAATTGGAACGATACAGAGAAGATTAGCATGCCCCTGCGTAAGGATGACACTCATAAATCGAGAAGTGGTCGAATTAAAAAAAAAAAAAAATAGAAAATACGGAAATTCGAACAAGAACAAAAATACAGAATCATTCCTAAACTCCAACGAAGGAGAGAGAACCCCCCTCAAAAAAAAAAACAAAAAAAAACAAAAACAATTAAGGTGCAGTTTAGCGCCTGATATATTAGGAGATACATGATATCAGCTGGATCAGCTGCACTGACCGATTTCAACTGCTGCCAGGCGGTCTGGATGTCATTAGATTAAGTCATGTGGTAAGTGTGGCTGTGCCTGCAGAGGGTCTCGATGGGCACCGAGTGTGTGCTGAGTGGGTATCCTCGCTGCAACTGTGCTGGGGTGGGCCGGGTACGGCTTCAGTTTTTGCCGGTATGGCTTGGCTTCAGTGTTGAACACAGTGGCACAGTTGCAGTGGTAAACGCATACGGCTGTTATGGCCGAGATCACCGGTTTGATTCCGTGTGGCTGTGGAGTGATCCTGGCAATATGCTGAAAGGTCTTCTAGTCTTATCTACTGAAATTAATATTGTTTTGTATGTTAATTAAAGCCGCTTTCGAATCAGCAGCTGGTACTGCACGGGCGCGGCATGCAGGCGTTACATAACTTTGTGCGTCCATGTTGTCGCCATGTGTGTGGGTGTATGCAGGGAGTTCAATTTTTCAACTTTTTTTTTTTCCCATCATGGCCCAGGTCACAGCTCCCCCGCCGGCGCCGGTTAAGTCGGACAAAACGCAAGGTAAGTTCTCATTTTGGTATGATTTGACATTCTGCAGCTTTTGCATGATATGGCCTCTCTTTATATGATGGATGTTTTTGCTTTGAGATGTCATCCTTGAACTGACCGGCCCCAGGTAGATTCAGAGTTGTTTTCACTCATAGGATGCCATTGGAATGTGAACTGAGGTCTGTGTTTCTACAGTTTGTGGGTGTCCCAACTGAGCTAGGCGAGCTGGTGGATATGATGGATGTTTTGCGGATGTGCAAGCTCTGAAATCGCTATTTGTTTTGTTTTGTTTTGTTTTGTTTTTCCGACATTTCTTTTGCCTTGCCAGAGGGAGGGACTTTCTAAAGGGAAGTAGATGCTCACCCCCTGCCTGTCCCCCCCCAAAAAAGAGGGAAGTAGATGCTGACCTGGTACAGGGACCCTTTCTGTGGGTTTGGTGTTTAAAAGAACTCCGTTTTGAACGGACATGCTTTTGTTCCTACACAGGAAAGGAACCCCAAAGCTTGAGAATCTGAAACCAAATCACGGCCAAGTGCAGGACCCGTGGTTGGCACGCAACTGGACAACCTAGACTTTGCGTTTGTGGCAGTTGGCCGGTCCGTCGACCCAAAAATACAGTCCGTGCGGATCGGATGGGCCCAGCGAAATGAAGTGGCAAGGATTGCATGGACCCTCCTAAATCTTGATGATGGTGGGGAACGGGGCTAACACAAAACGATGCGCCGCTTGAGGAGCCGTTTTATGTAACGTAAAAGGCTGTATTGCGTGTGCTCGACCTCTATGTGCTGTGTGCAGTCTGTCTCTGCAGAGTGGAAGATTTTTCTCCTGCCTCCCAGTAAACAAGGGTAGGTCTTCGCTTTTGTTGGAGGAGTGCCTCATGTGAGCCACACAATTTGAAGGGTGGAAGGACATCCGCACATGGGCCTACACGCCCTTGGTAATATTTTGTGAAGAGTGGTGCTGGAAGGTGTGTGGCCGCACTTACACGGTAGAGCCTCCCCACATGGGCTGAGGGGAGGGGGGGGAAGAGGGTGCAGTGTGCACACATTAGAGCCTCCCCACATGGCCTGAAGAGGGGAGAGGGTGCGCACGCTGAGGGGAGGGTGCAGTGTGCACACATTAGAGCCTCCCCACATGGCCTGAAGAGGGGAGAGGGTGCGCGCGGGCACGCCAGAGAGAGAGAGAGAGAGAGAGAGAGAGAGAGAGAGAGAGAGAGAGAGAGAGAGAGAAGAGTTGAGATTGGCTGATGGGATGTTTCAGATCTTGCCACCGCTGTGGAATTTTGAAAGCTTGAAATCACCCTCAGAGTAGTCCTTGCTCTGCTCATGCTGCAATTGCTTGTGCGCGTTGAACACTGGTGCTGCCTCTCAGTCATGTTCACAAAAGTACTTGGAGGTTGCCCTTAACCCAAGGCATCTACGCTAGTCCAAGCGTCCCCCCCCCCCCTCCCCTCCCAACCCCCCCTTTGGTGCTCGTTGGGGTGGTATCTCAGTCGTCTGCCTTCTAAACTCTGGACCAGGGGGCATGCGCATCCAGACAGCTAAATCGCATCCGCGAAAAGTAGTAGTCTATTTTGAGAAAGAAAAAACTTTACAATGCCAGCTCTGATGGTGTGCAGGTCTGTCAAACACAGAAGAGAAAGGAAGTTGATGGACACAATGTATTTTACTGCCCTGCGGTTTAGTGGGAAACTCTGTAAGCTAGGGAGTGGAAAAGATTAGTACACTAGGAGATTGATGCTGGGGGCATGAGAAATTGTGAAGTCGTGAGAGAACTCAACTCTCCTCTTCCGGTTTGTTCATGCCGAAAGTTTCCATCTCTCTCTCTCTCTCTCTCTCTCTCTCTCTCTCTCTCTCTCTCTCTCTCTCTCTCTTTTGCACGTGATGTGAAGTCCACCCTCTCATTGCTGCATGTCTACCTGGGTGACTTTGGTATTGCAGGGTCCAATGTAGATCTTAAAAGCATTGTCCCTTTGCTGGACATGGCTGTCAGTTCCAGAGAGACGAGGCTTATGGCAAGGGTGATCCGGCAGCTGATGCTTCTGCGACCGAAGTTGAAGGTGCAGACTGTTGCCAAGTTTTTGAGGAACAGTTTGGGTGGAGCTCCAGATGTGCAAGCGCAACTCCTCTCGTATTTAACGCCGGTAAGAAGATTGTTGAAGTGTGTGGTGTGTTGCTTGTTTGCATGAAAACACTTTTCTGCAGTTGGCTAAAATAGGTGTTCAACGACCGCAACCCTAGTTGGCTGTGATTGAGCGCAAACCATCGCATTTCTCCGAAGGCGGAGTCGACCATCGTTGTGACTTTATTGTGCTGTGAGTGTGTGCGGAGTATTGCCTTGTATGAATTGATGATCGTGGGGCGGGATGTTTCAGGGGGAAAGATGGTGGGCCCAAACTTGGTACGAGTGGGAACAAACATCATGACAGGCACCATAATTGACAACCTAGTTGGGACTGGCCTGACCCAACTTTTGCCACCCTGCTGCTTTGGTCCCCCCCTCCCACCACCCCCCGCCTGTACAAGGCCAGCCCCAAAAAGGCCCGGACCTGTGTCAGGGACATGGGCGTGGGCGCATCCCGAACTGCCTCGACTTTCCGCGGGTCCGGTCTCAGACTACCACGTGTCACAATGTACCCGAGAAACGAGATCTCCGAGAGTAAAAACTCGCTTTTCTCGAGGGCAATTTTGAACCCCTTGCTGTGCTCTCTTCCCTCTGGCTTTCCTGTGAATTCAACAGCCATGGCCGTCAACGTGGAAAGGTCATATCTAGCCAGGTTCGGGAAAACTTGTGCATGAAATGACCCAAGATTTCTCCAGCACTTTGAAACAGATTCAAACTGCTAAAAGATATGCAAGGTGAACCAATGCATCCAGTTGCAGGACAGTTCTGACAATGGCTGAGATTGCACTGACACAGATTAAGGGCCTCGCTCCACCACTTACCAAATGCTCAAAATGAGAATGAATCTTCGGATACAACATGGAAAGATGCACCGCCGTAACTTTTTGACGTTTTTGTCTTTTGTGCATGTGCCGAGTGGTGGAGCGAGGCCTTAAATCGCCACGACCTCCGATCCTGTTTTTGTCGAATCTGAGTTTCACTGCACACCAAGTTTTGCCGAGCCTGGGTCCCATTGTATTTTCTTTTCTGGTGTTCACAGCAGTTGTCCAGAAAAGAAGAAGAAGAAGAAGGAAAACAAGAATAAGACGGAAAAATAACTTCCCCTATGTGAGGTGCTGGTGAGGCTGTGCCCTCAGTGAGGGCGTCTGTCCGATGAAAAACAGATGAAGAGCAAAAAAAAAAAAAATTCACTTATGCTGTGATCGCGGTCCTCTTCACGAGTGAGGCAGTTAGTTGCCCTGCGTGGAATCCGCCCTGCCTCACTGGCAGGGCATGGAAAGGAAACCAAAACAAGAAAAATAAAAACAAAAACATCAGCAATCATGTTCCACACATACTGGCCAGATACATTCCTCAAAGCACTGGTGTGACTTCCACCTCCGCGAGGGCCTTCCCCAACGTCGCTGGATTCCAAGTTCATAGGGGTGGTTTTTTTTTTTTTTTTTCCTTTTTCTTCTCATCGCAGGCCGGCAGGGTCCCATTCTTTTCTTTTTCCCCCCCTTTCCTGCCGACCCTACGCCGGACCCCCGCACTTTTTGGACGAGGTCATTCCTAAATGGGACTACAGCTTGGAAAGGTAGTGGTGGCTTAAGAGATACAGGCCGCAAATTGCAAACGATTGTGAAGTACAGTATTTCATAACCAAGGCAGGTAAACAATCTCAGCCAGTCTAGATTAACAATATACTTGTCTGCACTCGACCAACCCGACGTCATCACTTGCCCACGTGGTTCATGTTCGACCCGTCCCAAATGGTCGATTCATTGTGTGTGGCCATATGGCACTGGTCCGTAGTCACATGGGCTGTCTATATTCTTCATTGCATCTCTCATCGGGTTCCTTGAGGGCATTTTCCTCGAAGGCTGGTTGTGTCGACTTTCCACGAAGAGTGGGCAGCCTCTAGACTTTCTCCTCGCTCTTCCTGAAAGAAGTGAAGGTTCAACTGGACTATCCTGAAGGAAGGGAAGTGTCACCTGAACTATCTGTGCCGAAGCATTACGGTGAAGCGCTCATTGTTCTTGGCTATGGTTGTGCGCACGTTCATGGAGCGGGTGTGCTAGAAGTACAGAGCGCATTATGTCCCGTTTCCGATCTAGTCACGCCCAGGCCGCTTGGAAGGTCCCTTTCCCGGCAAAGAAGGTCCTGCAAGTGTCTGCGCCTGCCCAGTTCTTCCTGTTCAGATCTGTCATGGCCTTGTTTGATTGGCCTTGATTGCACTTCCAGAGTCTGCAAAAGTCTCTTGTCCGAAGCTGTGGGAGACAAAAGGGGATGAGCTGCCCACCTCTTTTTCCCCAGCTCTTGGGAGCTTATGCTCTCCCTGGGGAGCTTCAGACATAGCCTATATTCCTTGGAAACATTACCTCCATGCTTGGAAATATTACCTTCTGGCCACTACCTCTTTTCCATCTGAACATCTTTCTCATTGTCAACGTCGCGCTTCTCTGTCTATAACGAGTGTCCTTGCGATCAAAGATGTGAAGTCTTTTGTCTTGTGGCTGGCTGCATGGTACCCAACATGCAACTGCCGATGGACAGATCAAGAGCTCAAATCCTAATGCATACGGTAACTTGAGGGGTTATTCTCCCCTTTCAAATAAAGTTCGTATGTCCTCCTACCGAAGGGTCATATCCAGTAAACTGCCTGTGTTACAGGAAACAAAAACCGCTCACTTTAGGGCTATCACCGTAGCCACCCTATTTCTCTTCTCCACCTTCGAAGTCCAGTCCTGCCTACCGTATTCGCCCGGAGATAACGCGTATGCGATGCAAACAAAAACAAACATAGGTTCTTTCTATCCGAATACAATGCTTATGCGTTCTATTCAAACAGCCCTGATTTTCGAATACGACGTACACGCGTTCTGTTCGGATTTTCATTTTTTTTGAAAATTCGAATACAACGCCTATGTGTTATGTTCGGGGGAAGATGGTAGTAGTACTCTTTCACTTTGTCCTTAGAGGGCTCACAGAGTCTCTGGGAACCCTGCTGCCTCAGCTCTGCTAGCCTTGAGGTAATCCTGCCACCAAGCGCAGGTGACGGTGCAATGTCCACCATAGCCAGAGAGAAGCGCAACTGCCGACTAGCTTCATGTGGCCCAAACTGCATTTGAGCAAACTCGTGGCCGAAACATTTCGGCCGAATCTGACTGTATTTTCTCACCAGGTGCATCCAGGAAAGTGCTAGTGTGAGGATGCCCTTTGCGGAACTGAGGTAAAGGGAGTTGTGTGGCTGCATGACACAGCCCCAAGAGTGGAGCAGTGGAGGCAGCACCGGCAGGCGCTTAAAGAGAAAGAACAGACCAGTGGCAGCCTTAACAGTCCTTTCCAGAAAGGGAAAATTGAAAAAGGTACCTTCTTGTTTGCTCTCCAAGGAACTGGTACTAGTAAAGCATTCATGGAGACTGCCAACCTGAAGATGCTGATGGGAGTTAATATAGATTGACATGTGCATGGTCGAGGCACTGGGACCTGCGAGAACTTGTGCCGAAGCCCTTGTTCTACAACTGGACTGACAATAGGGGGATATTGCTTTGACTAAGGCACTGGGCAACCCCTCCTGGGCGGGGGGGGGGAGGGGGGGGGGGGGGGGGGGGGGGGGGTTGCAAATTGCCACCAAGTGGCCACTGGACTCATCCTGGAACCCTGTCTGGTAACTTTTTCTGGACCATCGGATTTGTGTGCGATCTGTGGTCAAAGTTGACTTCAGGGGAATTCTTCGACTCCTGGTCTTATTGGGTCGGTCTGTGTTTTAGTGGCGACTTTCCCAGTGTCAGGATACCTGAATCCAGGCCTGACCGGCGCAGTAAACTCACTGTTCTCGATCCTAGTGCACTGAGAGCATTTTGGGGACCTTAGCTACACCGGGACCTAGAAACTGACTTGGGGTATGGCCTTTCTGGCGGTGTTTTCTGACACTGCGCCTCTGTAGTTCTAAAGTTGGAGTAGGGGTCTCTTACCTTATATTCCTTTTGGGGGGCGATCTGTGGCCAAAGTTGACGTCAGGGGAATTCTTTGACTTCTGGTCTTATTGGGTCGGTCTGTGTTTTAGTGGCGACTTTCCCAGTGTCGGGATACCTGAATCCAGGCCTGGATTGTGCAGCAAGCCTACTGCGCTGTGAGAGAGAGCATTTCGTGGAGCCTACCTAACCTGGGACCTGGAAACTGACTTGGGGCCTTTTGAAAGTGGCCTTTCTGGCGGCATTTCCCGACGCTACGGGTCAGTGGCTCTAAAGTTGGAGCAAGGGTCACTTGCCTTGTATTCCTTTTCTGAACCCTGCCGTGCCACTAGGCTATCCTAGATGGTCGTCCCACTAGAAATAGAGTACAGCATCACAGGGACACCGGTTCTGCGTTCGACAATGTCTCTCGAGCTGATGCAGAGACCATGGTGGGTATTTACTATATACTATTTCGGTTGGTTGTTTGGGTTTCACAATTTGTCTTTTTGTTTCGGTTTTTCAAAGTTTTATGTTTTATGATTGAAACAAACTGGCCTATTTCTCGATTTGTGTGTCGTCCTTTGCGCAGGGGGCCCGTGCTGATCTTCTCTGTATTGTTCCAGTTTTGGTGGATGTCCCAGAAGACAGGTTTTCCAGTTTGGATTCTTTTCTGAATGTGAGGTTTTGTGCTGTGCAGGCTAGGAAAGAGATGGAGGTTGACTCCTCTGTTCCTGATGGCTCACCTGCGGGCTCTGCTTCCACCGCAGCTGATACAAGTGCCAAGGTGGTGATTCCAGAGCTGGAGATCTTTTCGTATCTGCTGGTGTTAATATTTCTCATCGATCAGAAGCTGTACAACGAGGTGAGGGAGAAAGTGAACAACTCGGGCATCATTCGGATCGAAAAAGATTTGATCGCCGAGTCACAGACATACTAATGGATAGGATGGGTAGTGATTTAATACTATGTAATATAAATTAATACTACTAGAAGTAAAATTTAACACTATTTTAAATAAATTCATTCTATTCAAAACATGGCTACCCCGGACCCGGACACCCAGCACGTCCAGACACAAAACCGGACCTGTGTCTGGTCCAATCCGGACGTCCGGTAATCCGGACCTCTTTCGGACACCGGACAAAACCGGATCCGGACGGTCGGGAAAA